CTACACTGTCTGGAAAACTGTATTGCATGAATGAGAATAGGTCAGTTGCTAGAGTGGGAAGACCTGCTGCCTGGATTTTAATGAAGGTGCTAATTGGTGGCATGAAGGAGCACAAAGCTCATTGCTCCTGGAAGAATTTCCCCATCTCAAATTCTGCAGTAACTAAAATGCTCACATCATCATTAACTGTCTATTTTCAAGTTTGTGATCCCAGTAATGCTCTGGTGCCTTTGCAGACGGATGAACGAGGTGAAGGTGTACTAAGCCTCTTGCCTGATCTTGAAGACAGACGTTTATCTTTCTTGCCAGTGTTCCTGTTTCAGATTATCTGCTCAGATTCGTACAGGTCTTCCTTCTTAGCAAGCATCTCACAGTGAAAGACTGAATAGCACTGATTCCTAGAATTCTGGATGGGAGATACTGAGTCATTTGGAAGAAGCTTTTATTGGTCTGTTACCAAAACCGTTTGTCTCATTTTTCTTTTAAACCTTCAGGGATCTTGTGCACCTTTGTGAGAAGGTGGTTGGCATGGTCAGTGCAACATTGCTGAAAAAAATACCTTGGAGAGCTTTCCAGTGCAGTCCTGAGAAGGCAGGCCTGGCTGTGGGTGAATGGGCAGTCTTTGAAGCAGGTAGTAAAGTGTTGGGCTGTGAGAATTTGAACATCTTCAGAATTAAGGAAAGATTTGGGCGCAGCACATACGGTTCCCGTTGGTTGCTCTGTGCATCCTTGGCATCACAAGTTTGAGGGCATCTTACCCAAGGAAGAAAAACAAGGCTGCCTTTTAAAATAAGCTATTGCAGGGTTTGGTTATTTTAAAAAATTCTCATTTTAGAAACAGCAATGGAACTTAAGTCTTAAAATTTCCTTTTTTTCGGCCATAGAATTGAAGGCCTTTTTTGGAAATGCTGCAAAGTACCTTGCCAGTCTCATGACAGGTAGCCTTCCCAAATGGAGCTGTTGGGCCTTCTTTCCATCCTTGACCTGTCTGCTGGGAATATAAGCGCGTTCAGACTTCTGATTTCTGTCAGTGTGGATTGACAAAGGTCAATTAATGAAGTTACAGATCCCAATTAGCTTCTAGGCTTGGTTCTCGCATCTGGAACATTTACTGATATAATTTGATTGTTCCCTCTTTGCTAAAGAAAGATCAGGACTTTCCCTCAACACATTTCAATGAGAGAATAAAAAACTTTTTTTCTCGTGAAGCATTTCTAATGTCATCCATACTGACCATTTTATACCACCTTTTCTTTTTGGAGTTCTTTTCAGTATACAAAGGTTAACAATTCTTCAGGGGCTGTTTTTATTCTCACTGGCATGAGAACGGTTCACCACCAGGGGAGGAAGTGGCTTCCCACTAACTTCCAGGGTGCAGTAGATTGTGCTAAGTGCTTGGTGAAAGATTAGGAAGAAAGGAGCATCTTTTCTCTGCACTCTGATCCTTTCCCTCTACTTTATCGCTTCTGCATGCTTTGTTCCTGGCATCCCATGAAAATGTTTGCCAGGCCTTTTTGCAAGGGCTTCCTATAACATTTTATTTTTTTTCCTAATGTCTGAAGAAAAGCAGATGGAAGGCTTCCTTCACAGTCCTAATTGCTTCTGAATCCACAATGCCCTAGGCACTCCTTGTTTATCACGGGGAGGTAGAGATGGTAAGTATTGCAGACAGTGAGATTAGAGGCTGTGGTAAAATGATTTAAAGTTGATAGCCACTTGCCAAACTCCTGTCAATTTTGCGTAATGCCAGATGTAAGATGGGGAACTTGCCATCATGGTGTGCTGGGGAGTTTTCTTTACGTGGTATTTAGCTGTGCTGCCTGCTTTTTAGGCAGCAGACATACCTTGGAGGACAAGGAAAATATATATTTTAATTTTTTTAAAGTTTTTGGGTTTGGAAAGCATTAAAATATATAGCAACTTCTTCAACTTGGCAGGAGGAGATTCTTGGCAACAGGAAGGATTTGTATTGCATCTTGGTCAAATTTGGTTCAAGTGAAGGAAATTTGAACTTTCGTCTTGTAAAGCTGGAAAAATCTCAATGTTTCTTCCTTTGCTTACTGAATACTCTAATTTTTCTGTACAGCTTCCATACTCATCAACATATTGGTGTGTCGAGTTGTGCTTATGGGGCTTGTGTCTTATACAGGACAAAGGCAAGCGAAATTGCCTTCCATTAAGACAATTTTGAAAACATAAATCATCTGGTTTTATAGCTCAGATATGTTGGACAAAAGGTTGAGCTGTTTGTCGTTTAGCAGAAGGTGAAACTTTTCTGAGGCTGTGCTCAGCCAGAGCTGGAAGGGAACGTGTATTTAGTGACATAATTTCACAGTACAACTAAAATCGTCCGATGGGGGAGTCTTCTCCTGCTTCTGGCTTTGCAGTTGCTCCTCTTGCTCTCCTATCCTCTGGCATTAGCTCTGGTGCTTGTCTTGCTGTAGGGCAAGCAGATTAAAACTGCTGACACAACAAAAAGCGCTTCCCTCCTGGTGTAGTTTTCTGTTTCTTTCGTGCTACACATTGGTTACCCTGTGGGCAGAAGGATGCTGGGGCTTGCTGCTGTCGAAAACACAGAAATGGGGGTTGAAGGCTACTCAGTGGGTGAGGGGGAGCAAGACCTGTCCTTTTGTAAGCTGCCAGCTGTTAGGGCTTCAACAGATATTAAAAAAAGAATTGTTTAAATCTATCCTCTGCTAAATCTCAAATTAACATAAGGCTAGTCGTGGTTTGTTCTAAAATGGTGTTCTCTGTTATTGCCATTTCAAAAAAAATCTGACCTTTGCAAGAAGAAAGTATGAAATAAATGCCAAATGTGACTTAACAATAGCTACTGGTGAAGAGACTTAAAGTCCCTCCCTGCAGGCAACGTTCCCTTTCTAGACTTGGGATTTCTAGTTGCTGTTCCTGACTTTTTCCATTATTCAACGTCTGGTTGTCAGCAGCAGTGCAGTCCCTGGAGAGGCTCATCCTTTAGTAGATCCTGCTCCATAAAATAGAATTGCTGCGCAGGCCCTTAGCATAGAGGGCAGTCGTGTTTGTAGTTTCACAAAAAATCTGTCAGCTCATGCTGCATGGTTGTTTTGTGGTTTTAATGGTCGTAACTCAAAATCACCTTCTTTGAGAAGCATATGTGGCGATACGAACGCTTCTGACCCATCTTAATGAAAAAATAAATTGGCAAATGTAGCCAGCATGAACTACATGGTGCTGTAAGGCAGTAGAGGTGATCTAGAAGCTTTTTGCATCCTCTGAACACCTGAGCTGGTGTTTTACTTGTGGCAGAGAAGCAATAACCTTTTAAACTGTTCTAATTCAGCTTGAATTGATTATCCCCTCGGGCAAGATTAGTGCAGTGCTAGTGATACCTGCTGCAGATAATATCATCAGTTCTCAAGCAAACTGTAATTAGAGAATTTTGATAGTAGTTGCTTGTGTACAGCGTCTTACGTTAGTCTTTTGGCCAAAAAATCTAGTAAGCACAAAGTTCATCTTTGAGCCTGTGGTAATTAGTTCTTCTGTGGTGGCACTGAGAAATTCAGTGAGAAGCAGGTTTCATGCTGAACTTGGAAGGTTTACACTAAGCTTTCAGAGGGAGTTAGAGTTGCAAGTCTGCCTTAATTCCATCCAAAAATAAGTGTTTGGTTGTATGCCCCTTACTGGTGGAGTCTGAATTGGAAACATTCATACTTCAACATTATTGCAGCTTGATGGTGTAAATTGACATGTCTGCGTGTTGCTGGTGGGCCAAAGTGTTGGATTCTCTGGAAAAATGAACAAGTAGGTAAAGTGAACTTAAGAGGAGGAGTACTGAACTCGGCATCAGGAGACTGTGAATTAACTGTAGGGTTTTAGCAGCTTTTTGGTTACTTCTGTGTGCTTCACAGCTGTTTTTAAGAGCTGTTAAATAAAATTAAGTTGTTTTGGAGCTTGACATGTTTAGTGCTCTTGGACTGAGAGCATGAACAAATCCGCAGCAGCAAACTTGAGAACCAGAGTCTGGAATCATACAAGAAATTAGCTTCCTGGTGGTGGTTTCCAGAAAGAACAGGCCAGTCTAGGCTTCCTGAATCTGCTTGTCCTCAGTTCTCTCCTGTTGCAGGAGCAGGGTTCAGGTACCCTGACTTTGACAATTTCAAAGTAGTTGTAAAAGTGCTTTAAAATCTACTTTTCTGGCAGGCTGTGAAGGAAGAGCTGGGGTCTGCTCTGAGTTGTAGATGTCCTCTGCATCAGAAACATCAGGATTCTCTCCCTGCTGGTGGCTGACTAAGGCAGAGTGTATCTTCATGTGATGGAGTTTCTGGATATTTTCTCAAGACTTTCTTTAAAAAGGTGCAAAACCAGCAACTCAGTCAAATACTCGGTATGCACCAAAATTAGTACAGATTCATCTGTCTCATACGTGCAGTTAAGGAGTCACTCGAAGGCAACCACGGAACAAAACCAGGGCCTTCAGATGCAGGATAAGCAGTGAGTAAAGTAGAAACATTTAGAAAATAAATAGTCTGCAGTCAAAATACTGAACTGGGTCTAGTAGATCTGGCTGCTGCTCCTTTTCCTGTCTTCTAAGAGTTCTGGGCAGAAGGTTGGAATTAAGGTTGAGGTGGCCGTTTTGATTCTGGCCAGTCAAGGGCTTGGACATGGTGGGGAACCTGATTTTTAACTGGGCTTTTGTGAATACTTTGGTGTTTGCAGGAATGTGTATAAAGTCTGTCTTGATGCTTTTTATTAATGTAAAGAAAAAAACCCCTTAAGAGCTCTTTAATGGTACATAGTTTTGTAGAATGCCGTGCTTGTTAGTTTGAAGGAATGAGTTGTTCTGGAATTTTGAACAAATAACATTTTGTTTTGTGAGTGGAAAAAATGCGTGGTTGAAGCAGTTGCTTGTTCTCATTTTTTTTAGAATAAACATTCAAACTTATTTCAGGTGGAGAAAGTTTGGCTTATTGAAATGACCCAGAACTTCTGTGGGATTTTTCTCTTTGCAGATATATCGTAAAATGTCTAATGGTTATGAAGATCACATGGCTGAAGATTGCAGGGATGATATCGGTAGAACAAATTTAATTGTGAACTACCTCCCTCAGAACATGACGCAGGATGAGTTGCGGAGTCTGTTCAGCAGTATCGGCGAAGTCGAATCTGCGAAACTTATTCGGGACAAAGTTGCAGGTATCATCTAGTACATAAGAAATCTTTACTTTGTGCCAGACTGCTCGAGCAAATACATTAAATTGCATTCAGTTAAGTAGAAATATCACCTGTTGTGTGTGTAATCAAACTATTGACAAGTGCGTGTAACTAGAGTAATGCTGAGACTTGATATTGAGTATGAGGAAGATGAATACTTAAGGCTAAATTGATGACTATTTTCTATATAGTTAAGAATTCCAAAAAGTACAGTTCCTAAATTTGAGCATCAACAGACATGTCTAAAATTAGTTTGAAATTGGTCCCCAGCTTATTAATTCTTCCTACAGTCTGAGCGTTTTTGACTCTAGCAGAGCTCTGAATAAGCGAACAAACCTTTTGATCTGATTTTGATCAGTAAAATAAAGGTGTGACATGCTTCTGAAACAGTTGTAGGCCTTATCACTCTTCAGGAATTTAACTTGTAAGTTCTTCAAATAGGATTGTTAGTAGTAGCTTTAAAAAATGAGAGGAATGAATGGTTCAGATTTGTGAAACACTGTTTCCTTGAAAACAACCAAATGCTGATAGAGCAACTGGTTGCATAAACTGTAAACTGTATCCGTTCAGTTGCAGGAGGTTTTTATCTGCCCTGTGAAGATGTTTTAATCCTTACATGGTTAAAAATATTCATTTACAAATTCTGGTTATGCTTGTTCAGAATTCACGGAATCTTGGATTTAGTGGGAGAGCATGATTGTTTCTGTAAATAAAAGTGATTGTGCTGTTAACTAGCTGTGGATGCGTGTTTGTTCTCAGCCTGCCTTGTGGAATTTTCTGCTGCACATGCCCAATCTGTCCGGAATCTAGCAATACTGACTTAGATCATTATCTAATCCGTAACGGAACAGGTCTGAATCCACTTCGCTGGCTGTAAAAACTGCGTGAAAGCTGATGAAACACGTGAGAATTCTGTGTGTGTTACCTTAACTGACTTTAGCACTTTGTTTTATATGCTCGAGAATAGACATGAGATCTGAAAAATTAAAAACTTCTGATTTTACTTTCAGAATGGCTTCTCTGATTTCCATGTCTTTAGTTTTCCTGATTTGTTTCAGATGAAGTTTCACATGACAGCTGTCTGTCTAAATCTGTGCTTACAGAATGTGTATGTAAAGGCATCATGAAATAGTTACATAAAATATGGATTGCGTTGGATGTTTTGGGAGCTGAGTATTCAGCCTAGATATTGTCGTACAGTTTGAGATGCTTTTTTTCTTCCGTTTGCTTTTCTTTCTGCCCTGTCATGTTTGCCTTAAGATTTCTGTATTGTAAAACTCCCCTCTAAGCAGATCTGGTGTTTGGCTGCCTCTGGAAAAAACGGTCTTGAGGCAGAGTTCCGCTTTCCTTGTGCCACCACTTGCATTTTTCTGACCCCGTGGCAGACTAGCAGGAAACTAGAGCTGCAGAAAAACCTGTTTAACTCCCTGCCCTCGGTCTCTGTGAGGTCAGATCAGTCGTGATATTGGCATGTAAGATATAGCGGGGTTGAGTGGCCTGCACAGGAGGGAGCTAACCTCTCCTTTTGTTGGAATTCAACTTTTTAGGTCCGTTTAGTTCTTTTCAGTGAAATCACAGCTGTGATGCCCCCATGACATTCTGTTAAAGCTTTTTGTCTTTGGAGTTGCCTTTATTGACTGTGTTTGCAGAGTTAAAGTCAATGTTTGTTTGATAATGCTTATTTTTCGTAAAACAATGACTGGTATGTATATTTTTTTCCTCAGTTAATTCTCCATTAGTGAAACATGTAGGGCAGAAAATGTCTTCTGCCTGGAAAGCAGTTTTTAATGACTTACTGAACTAGCCTTAACTTTCTGGAGACTGATTACTTTGATTCAAGAATTGATATGAAAGCTAAAGTTTTGTTTTGTTTGAGCAAAGCATTTTGTTATGACCAAAGCATGTATGTTTTGGGGTTTTGTTTCAAATACAGCATGGTACTGACCAATCTTATTTTCCATGTATTAGATTGTGTTTGTAAAATTTACAGAAACTCTTTGAAACCACTAGACTACTTACCCTTTATTTTTTTATTGATGAATGCTATAGGAAGTTGAAAGCAGCAGCAAACCATACTGTCAGTTTACATTCCTTATGGATTTTCTGCTTTGTGTACACATGGATTATAGCAGTTGGTAAAAGTGTGACTGTGCATTTGTTTTGTTGTTTGAGACTTGATAACTTCTTTTTCTGCTTTTTGCAGTAACTGTAGAGAGAAGCTTGTGTGCAGTAGATGAACATTAGGGTGCAGTGGTCCTTCAGCTCTTTCGATTGTACTGGGAAGATAGGGTGCTGGTCTCTTCTCCAGTTTTTGTATTGCATTCCTAAACGCCTCCAGGCATGGCTCTGCTCGACTTAAGATGAATGAACCAGTACTTGGGGTCAGTGGGCAAATACTGGGTTGTTGCTCTGTTATTCACTGTACTTGTGTTTATGGTGAGTATGTCTTGGACATCCAGGATTTTCGTGAGGGAGCTATAGGACTCACACTGGATATTGTTCTTTCTGTCAGATCTTAAGGCTAGCGCTAGCTGTACCTTGGGGCTTTGAGCCCTGACGAAACATTAGAAGGTCACTTCCCAACATAGCATGGCACAGCGACAAGGCTGAGATGTAACTTTTCACTGCTGCATCTCCTGGCCTTTTGTGGTGATTGCTGAGGCTTGTGAATAGCCATTGACCCAGTTCAGTTGATGAAATTCTCTCTTCCTGCAGCTCCGGCTCATGAGGCCAAGAGCAAGGAAGAGTACTGGGGTTTGTCTGATCGGGCTGCACCAGTTAGACTGTAGCCCTCTAGCACTGACTTCAGACACAGCGGTGCCAAACTTGTGCTCTTTACTGATTTCCTACCCAGGAATGTGTGTAGTGTTAAATGTCCTCTTTCTTGGAGCTGCTGCCTCCTACCGTAGATGATTCAAGAGAAGAAGTAAGTCCTCTACCATATTTTGCACTGGGAGTGCTTGACGTTGCTAGGTAGGACGTCCAGATTCTGGAGTCTGGGTTTCCAGCCCATCTGCTGTGCTGGACGTTTTTAAAGCATTTCTCCTCCTTCACTATCTGTTAACGCAGAAATCCAGGCCTTCGTGGCACTCTAGTCTTTCTGGATTTCGTGCAGCACAGATGCAGATGACTTGTGGCAGGATGTCTGATTGTGCACAATGCAGATGCTTCTAATCAATGGCTGTAAATTTTCTGGGAGAACCTCGTTCGTGCAGGTGTACGCAGACTTCTAGTCCTTCTGGACCAAATGCTAAAGCTGAAAGGTAGCCGGCTGTAAACGTAAGCTGTATTTAGTTTCTCTGTCTTCCGCTTATGCTGCTGAAATGTTGGTACATTCAAACTTGGCTGTTGTAAAGCTCTGAAAAGGTTGGGTTAAACTTTTCTCATGTGTTTAGGGTCTGAGATCGCTGTGGGATCTGTTTATTTCTCATGACATAGAATCATAGAATGGTTTGGGTTGGAAGGGACCTCAAAGATCATCCAGTTCCAACCCCCCTGCCATGGGCAGGGAGATCCTCCACTACACCAGGTTGCCCAAAGCCTCATCCAACCTGGCCTTGAACACCTCCAGGGATGGGGCATCCAAAACTTCTCATGACATCCGTGACCCTGCTCTGAGTACCTGGTGACAAACTTGCTGTGCTCCCCTCTCTGTAAGAGCGTTCTGCCTGACGATGGTTGATTTTGTTAGGGAGGCATCCATCTTGTTCCCTCCCTCACACCTTGTGTACTGCTTGAGCGGGCAATAAGGCATCCCTGTGATTCTCATGACAAAATACTGGTGACTTTCTACTCTAGGAAATCAGGATGTGATCCATCAGAGTGTGCCAAAGGCTCTGTCTGTACCTGTCCACTACCGAAATACGACCATCTCTATGCAGACGCTGAAAGGAGACCGTGGGCGTCCTCCCGGCTGGCTGCGTTTGAGCTGTGACAGAGCTTCCTAATGTTGAACTCCTTGATCGGCAGCTATCGGGGACGAAGGCATCACCCCACTGTTGCTGGAAAGTGTGGAGCAGGATGGGCGTTTTGGGGTGACTTAAGGTTGCGTGCGGAAATGTGAGGTCCATCTTAAAAAATACTGTCGTTCCGACTCGCTCGCACTCCAAGTGTGCATGTGGCCTGTTGCTTACAGGACCAAAAAGAAATCACTTCTCGGTGGTTGGAATTCCTCAGGAATCAGTCTGCATCCTTACTTTTCCTTGTCTTTTCCTTTTCATATCCTTCCTTTCCTTTCCATTCCATCTTCTCTGGAATACTCTATTACAGAAATTATGCAGCTGAAAAAGAAATGAATGGCTGTGCCCTCGTAAGCTTTTAAAGCAGAAAGGGAAGGAAGGTTTTATTGCAGCGCTGGCAGATGCTGACAGGTGGAAAGCAGGTCTCTAGCTCACCACATGGTAACTATTCATTTCACTAGTGCCCTGGACTCCAATCTAGAATCAGAATTCTTAAGCCTTCTCATTTTGTGGAAAGCATTTAAGTGTTCTCTTTGACTGAAACTGTTTCCTTTTGCATGGAAAACAACCATGAAATTTCTTACGCAGTTTTGCTGTTAACTGTGTAATTGGAATGCATCATTGCCCCTGGATTTTTTGGCTAGCTTTTTAATCACATTTGGTGGTATGCAATTTCTTTAAATGTGCATTCAAGAATGCTTGGCAACAATGGTTAACTTAGTGAAAAGTGCAAATGGTTTGCAGACAAATTGGCCAAATACTGAAAATGTTAACACCCTTCTAGCTTTGCCAGCTTTGCTTAATTTCCTTTATCATAAGGTCAGCTGTTTACCTCAGATGTAGTAACTGAGTTTGAGCAAGGGTCTGGGAAAACACTTAATGTAAAGGTTGCTCAGGTTCTTTGTAAGTGGGTTCAGAGCACAGCTGGCAGAACGAGCAGCTGGTGCAGCAGTTCCATGGCTCAGCTTCTAAGTGTTCTGGGAGCTTCGGAGATTGCCAACAGACTGCTGGGAACCCTCTGAG